TCTTAGTTGGAACCTATGATGTATAGCTTGCTGAACTTAGTTAGAACCTATGATGTATAGCTTGCTGAACTTTGAATCATAATCCGCGGTCGAGCAAGAACTCAACCAACCCAAACTAAATAGCATCATTTTTCCTAGTAACTTATCGAAAGAGAACTTCACGGAATGCTTAACTAAAGCTTTATTGATTCCTGCTTGAACTCTGACTGTAGAGTATAAGAATGCTGTTCGATCAAAGTAGACACCCTCACTACTGGTAAGTCACGTACACAGTGGAACACCGAACCTAGTAAATGAATAATGAGAGCCTCCAGCGTATATTGACCTAACGGATTAAGGTTTGGTTTGAGAAAGATGATTCGGATAGAAGCCTCTTCTGCTATAGAGAATCCTTAGCGGAAATCGAATCTTTGCTAATGAGGAGTTTCATCAAAGTCATGGAACTTTAAAAGAAACTATCATCATCATAACTCATAGTTAGATCTTCGATCCCCATCTGCTAAGAAGAAAACTCGGACGTACCTTTCGAATCATCCAACAATTGGAGTGATAGAGATGAGCATTAGTTTGATTAGAACTATAAAGATCCTGCATCGGCGGATTCTCGAGTTGAGTGGGCAGTAGAGAATAGAGATGAGCATGAGATTGATGATGAAAAACTAGTCAAGTATATTGGAAACCATACTCAAACCTGCGCAAGAGCAAGCTCTGAGAGTAACCCGACGCATCCCGAACTATCCGTTTTCGCGGTTCTGTGAGGTAAGGTAAGGGTTGGTAACGAAACTTATTGTCTGGCGCGCCCCAAGAGAAAAGTGAGCTAACTTGCCCCTCCACTCGAAAGAAATCATTGAATCTAGCATGACCAATATCTAGCGTGACTCATATAGAATCTAGTAACTAAACACTTATTACTGCTACTGCTGGCTCTACCTAACTCTAAACAATGAGAGAATAAGAGAATGCTTATGCTAACTCTAAACTATAAAGAATATAAGAGAATGCTAACTCTGAAACTTCTAAAAGAAAAGAAGAATATAAGAGAATGCTAACTCTGAAACTATACTGAAACTATGAGAGAATAAGAGAATGGAGGGAACAGTGAAAAAAGATGGATACTTTGCCGGCAAACTCTCTTAGCGCTTAGCGGGTTGCTTACACCGTTGCTCTTGTTCTCTACTGAATAGAGGATAGGCACACCCGGAGTAGCTTATTGACTATAGCACACCCGGAGTAGCTTATTGACTATATATAGAATAGTGCACACACACACATGATTCTAGAAGCACAGCACAGTAAGCTAACACTGCACATAACGCATAAATCTGAATTGATTATAGCCCCATTCCTCTGAAACTAACTGTTGACTTTACGGCTTCTCTTTAGCTTGAAAAACTCTATTTATGACTTGTTTACTCTTTTAATGCTTTGCCGTTGTTTGTTCTACTTCTACTGGGTGGAGTCTAAAGGAAGAGGTGTTCGGGCGTTAGTTAGGTTCGTTCTTTCTATGTTATAGGTGAGTTCTTTCTAGAATAGATAGGTGCACTATAAGCTCTCGGGGAACAAGCTTCGAAAATAGAAGTCTCGTGAGTTGTGCTAACAGTTACTTGAGCAGATGCCTTCGCCTCTTTCTTCTGTCCTCTGCTCTGTCCTTTAAATGCGTTTGAGCCTAATATCCTTGCGCAGCTCCTAGGTTCACTGCGCTTAATTCTGATTTGGTCGACTCCTACCCTAGATGCAAAAACCTCAATTCATGCTTCACTCCTTACACGCTAAAGAACTAGCTAACGAAATTGGCAAGTCAAGTGGATAGTCTGGTAGATGCTTAAAGAAGTGGAAAGTTCCATTGACGTAAGAAGCGAGTCAAGTTGTAAGCCTATTGGTTGAGGATCATAAAAGCAAGCCGTAACCGGCGGACTATAGCAAAATAGGGGATCTAACACCAGCCAGCACTTTTCTGTTCTTTATAGTCACTCCCCTTATTCTTTCGAGTAAGCAAGCGCAGTGAACTCTAATGAGAAAGTCTCTGTATTCTAAAGAAAGTAGAAGATTGATTATCCTCGTGAGTGTAATGGTATCCGATCGATCTAGCATTAGAAATAGTGTGTTGAAAAGAGCTCTAATAGGCCGGAAGCCACGTAACGTATGTGGCAAAGGGGATTACTTCTTTCTGTCTAAGGGTTTAAAGGGCAAGGTTGCTTGTAACCCTATGCTTGTCTCTGACTTTTGTGTTTCTTATCCGGTTCCCTAGAATCTTTTCTTCCCAGTGAAAAACCCTCACTTATTATTCTGACTGATTCCCTTGACTGACTACAGCAACTCTGGCTGGTATTTATGAAGCTCCTGCCGCCATGAAGACAGCTTCAATTGTAATAAGAAAGGGCCAAGCAACGACCCACGGATGCCATTAACTTCTTTCCTTCCTTCGGTTACTAGCTAGGCGATTGCAGCTAACTAGAGATAGCTATGTGAGACGCCTATCCGGGAAAAGGAACTCTAGATAGAGCAGGTGGGTCAATGAAAAGGAACTCTAGATGGATGTGGAAAAACTCTAGATAGAGCAGGTGGGTCAATAAAAAGGTCTCCTTTGGTGTGATATAGCGTTCTACGGCCTACGTTTAAAGAACCTGGCTGTCTCCCTACATGATTGGCTAGTCCTCCGGCCAGATGAATCTACCTCATAAGCCATGGGGTGGGCATTTCTCTATTACTTGGTCCTTCGATGCAGCTACGTATGCTCCTTGTCTAGTCCCTTCATCTCCCCGCATCAATCAATAGGGTTTGGTTTTGGTTAAGTGGTTTTTCGAATGAGCAAGCAAGGTAAGAGGATGGGACATGTAGAGTGGTAAGGGCTAACTCTGAATCTATGTATCATGTCAGCCTTTTTCCTCTTGTTGCAGCGGGGGCGGCAATAAAGACATAAGCCTCATCCCATTCTTTGGGGGTACAGTCCAAACTTACCGGCTTAGTTGGTCCTTTTGAGTTTCCTATTTGGAAAGCTTCTTCAAGACTAATGGTATAGTACATAGTAAAGAAGAAGGAAATAATCATAGTATTCAAAGAGTATTCACTCATCCAACGTGGAGAAAGTTCCATAAGTTATCCAATTGGAATAGCTTCGTATGTCTATTCTACGCAACCCCTCTCTCTCTCTGAACACCTTGTGAATGAACATCGAAAATCCGAGTAAACGAATGAAGCGGGCGGGGGAGGTCAAAAAACGGATTCCTTAAAGGTTGGGGTGGTGGAGCTTTGAAATAAGTCTCTAATCAATCCTACCACTTTCGTTTGTTTTCTAGCCCGGTGAAAATCAGGAGATAGTGTGAACAAAAAGACATGTAATCTCGGACTACTATGAAACAAATACTGCCAAACAATCAATCTGACGCTTTCCTTTCCCTTACAAAGCTCGGCGCCAATCCCTTTCTTTCGGATGAAACCATGTATATCTGTGAGATAGCTAGTGGGCAGTCTAATCTCTCTGACTTTTACACGGCCTTAGATCCATCTCCATTGAGGTATAGTAAGCGATAAGCCAAAGAAAGAAGCAACATTTTGTAAGCTACGAAGATTTAGGTATATGAAAGGTCGACTACAGGCTTGAGTCTTGGTTCGGGCCTGGTGCAATGCAATAAGACAGTGTCACTGTAAAGCACTGAAGTAAAGCGGAGTATAGAGCTAGGCAATGGCGGGCGGCACATAAGTGTGCATGGGTTTTGAAGCTTATTATGAATCATAACCATTTCCAGTTCGGTCCCACAGTGAGAACTAGTATGTGCGCCTGGCCTAAAATCAGGTAAGGAAAGGAGTTTTTTCCAATATGTGGATCTCACACTCTATCTTGTTCCATATCTTCGCTAGGTCTTTAAGACAACCTAGCCGGAGTTGAAAGAAATCAAAGAGGAGGAAAGCAGCTCGTTCCTTTCCGATATATTAGATCCAATTCCTTTCCCGATGTAGCAGCGGATCTCGTCACTCTTCTATAGGATTTCCTCTAGCTTTATCTTTCCTTTATTAGATTCTAAAGCGAGTTGCTTTACCCTGCCTTCCATTTCTCCTTGAGACTCAACCAATGCAGAACACCTCTATATCTATAGGATTCCACTTGTTATTTAGTATAATTGACTTTCTTCGCACCTACTGATCCAACAAAGTCATGTGAAGGAAGTGTGTGTCATGAGCAAACAAGAAAGGAAGCCCTTAAAGAAGAAAAGCAGAAAAAGAGCATGGCATCGATCGACTCGATCTGGTGCACTCAGATGTTTGTAACCTTATCACAGTCCAATATCACTTTCCAGAAGCAGGTAGTTTATTACCTTTACTAATGATCATAGTGGTCAAACTGAGGTTTACTTAAGGAAATGCAAGCTAATAAGTTCTAAGTAAAGTAAATGTCAGGAATGAATGAACTTGGTGAAAATACAAAGGTAGGAAAAAATGCTTAAGAACAGATAAGGGTCGTGAATAAACATCAATTGATTGCATTTGAAAGTTCTTTGGAAAGAGAATCTAGAATCATACTGAAATGAACCATGACATACACGCCCCAACCAAATGGAGTATCTGATAGAATGACTAAGGCCGGACGGACTGATGGACTCTCCTTTACATTGTCAAAAGAATTCGTAATTCAGAGCACCTGAATCATCACCTAGATCAGCTGGGGTTGACGTAACCATCATTCAATAAGTGAAATTACAATAAGCACAAGAAGTTATACTATTTCAATGAAACCAACCATATATGATTATTTGATTTCTATATAATTCTCTATGCATTCTACATCTTAAAGGGGTGACTCGAAGGAAGGAGGGAGGGATACTAATGATGATGATGAGCTTTCATTAGAAAATCCAGTATAGTATAAAGACACGGACAAAGAAGTAGAGGTGGAGCAAGGCCCGATGGGTTGAAAAGGTAGAAAAGTGAATGGGATATACTATGAGGAAGTATTCGCACCAGTAGCTCGATTGGAAAGAGTTAGATTGCTAATCTCCCCTGAGTCACAGCTCAAATGGAAATGGGAAATTGGACAGATGGATGTCAAATCGGCATTTCTTAATGGATTTATTGAAGACGAGAAAGAGGTCTCTATATAGAACATAGAACATCGACCCCCCGTTTGATTATTCATGTTGTCTATGAAGCACCCTTTCTAATGGTTCAAGAGGGCTGGCTCGCGCTCTCTATATTCAAACAAACTCTCATGGCGATATCTTGTTGGTATGCCTTTCTCTTTCTATTATTTGATTCGGACAGGCCCCACCATGATTCCAGAATGGAAATAATACAGCAATGGAGAATTCGTTCGAGATAACAGAGACTTTGGTCCTAATTACTTATTTCTTTGGCATCGAAGTCAAACTAAGCAGTTCCGGTTGTTTCACAAGCTAATTATAAGAGATCCGGAATATGTTATCCATGGAAAGAAGGTTACCCTATCGATACACCTGTGGAAGTAATATGGCACCAAGTTCACCAAGGAAGTAGAAGGTAAACGAAAACATCCTTAGTATATAATAGTGCCATCGTTGGTAAGATATTGATTTTGCATGCACTCGATACTTTGCTGGCAATGTAAAAGAAAAGAACGACTTTCTTTGCAGGGGTTACTAGGACGAAGGTATCCTTCTTGGGCGGGACACCAAATCCATCTTTTCGTGGAGGATTGGATCCAATAACAAAAGAACTGGTGAGGTGGTCTATGGCTGACCGATGTTGCACACCTTCCTTATTTGCTATGGATTAGCTATGGCTATTGATCACACCTTATTAGCTATTGCTATTCTTTTCCTGATCGCGTATAGAACCAACAGGGCTGGGGCTGGGGCATTGTCATGGCCTTAAAGACTATAGGCTCATAAAGGTCCATTTACAGGCCAGGGCTATAAAGGACTCCATTCTTTCTCTCTCTTCAATCCTAACAACGCGGGTGGCATGCTCAATTCTCTCTTAACCTGACTTGGCTATGTTAGGCTCTTTTAAATAAGAAAGATTGTATTGTAGCTCACTATATGTATGACATCCCCACCTATACAATCATAGCAATTAACTAGGGTAACCATACCTATACATACATAGCAATCATAGCAATTAACTAGGGTAACCATCGTTGTTCACACATTACATGTGGATCGGTGGGTTTCTCATAGTTGGTGCTGATGCACATGCATTCATTTTCATGGTAAAGATACTCTGATACTACTATTCTCGATACAATAAGATATTAGATCACGTGTACTTAGACACCGCGAGGCAATCAATCATATGGCATGTATTGAGAGAGGGCTGTTTTGGATCGTATATATCGTATATTCATAATTATACCACGTACCGCGAGCGCTTGAGGGCGGCCCCAAGATATGTTTTCTGAGACCGCTATACCCTCTGCATAGCTCAATGGGTAAAAACACCCTATTGCGCAGCATAAAAGCTCCGGGTGACAACAGAATGCTAATCTATGGTTTCGTTTTCCTTGTGATTGGGCGACATGTCAAGTATCTGCCTGGAATCATGTCTTCTTAGGTTGATTATGGATGTACTCTGCGATTTCGGGTAGTGATTGATTTTCCATTCGAGTTGTCAAATGCAGTCGGATGTTTAGGGGTGGAATAAGTGCTAAAGGAGTAGTCACCATTATTACAGGAGGAAACTTTGCTATGAGTGAAATGACTATTCGATTTCTTATATAGGCTATTCGATTTCTTATATAGGGGTGGGCTCCGAGATTGATTATGGGCATTGGCATCTAGCGTCTTATTGTTCCCATCTTTATCTGCATCTTGTCTAGCGGGCTTATGGTTTTGATCATTATCTGCATCTTGTGTTTTCTCTTAGGTGTTTTGTCTGGGTGTATCATGATTCTATTCCGTAGCCGTGGTGTTATTGGCAAGAATTCATGGAATCCATCGTTTGGGCTCATAACTAATTACATCTTGTTCCTGCTACTCCGCCTAGAGCCTTTAGCAATGTAAAAGGACGTGCACTGAAGGATTATATGGCTAACTAAACAGATTGTCCGTCCTGCTTCCACTGGTGGAGTAAGGTTTCATGTTGGCGTTTGCTTCTAGAAAGGATTTGCTTGTTCCATAATTCCATCAGTCAGTTAAAAGCAACGACATTAAGGATTTGAGTGACTCGAAAATGAGGCACAAAACGACGCAAATAAGCTCGGTGGCGAAGATGAGGCGCTTGCCGTAGGGGTTGATTGATTGGCTTTACCCAAGACCAGCTCAAGAAACCAGAATTTACGTATCACTCTAATCGGACATCTCAAGCAGAAGCAACCTGAAGGGCGAAAGCCAATAGTATTGTATTGTTCATTCGGGGGTGAGAGAGTGATGGAAACTAACGGGGCACCTGTATCATTAGATTCGAACTTGAGTAGCTGCTGTCGTGGCGCTAAGATCATAGGTTTGTCATATTGGTGTCGAGGGGTTGACCTTAGATGCGAGTAGTTCGAAATACTACCATTCGAGTTGGATACTATGAGCAGTCTAGGGTTAACAATTTCATGAGAGGGGAGACTACCAAGCGATTCTAGGCGGATATCCCTTCTTCTGCGACCTAGCCTAGAGCTTTCCTTAGTTAATTAACTGAATGCACTTGCGAGTCCTACTTTTCAGACTTAAGTTAGCCCAGCAACACTAAGGGATAGCGGTCGAAACAAGCGCTGACAGAGAGATTACACATAATTGAGTCTCTTTGCTTATCTAAACCATGAGACCCTCCTTATAGACTACCTTTTTTAGCTATTTCCAATTTCGCTCTTTGATAGATAATAACCACTCATTTGAAAACTAACTGAGCCCGCGGAGAGAGAAATCAGATTGGATTCCACCCCCCCGACTCGGTAAACTTGACCCTACCCCTTTACCTAAGACAGTATGCCCGACTAAACACTCAGGGAAGCCGATGACGAATGCCTTCTCTTCCTGTCTTGATGGGCTAGAACTCGGGGCGAAGATTCTCAACGCCATCATATGAGAATACGACCATAAACTGTATATGAGCAGAAAGATACATAAGGGAGAAACTCCCGAGAAACACTTTACGAACAACTTTAGGAGTTCCTTGGTTTGCTTACCTTACGAGTTGTGGGACAAGGCGGATAGTCAAGTGATAAGGAACGATTGAATATGTTCTTATGAAGCCCGAAGTTATAAGCTATATGAACTCTATTGATGCGGCAACCGCTCGACGCTCCTTCCAGGTTCGTACAGTTTTCGAATTGGTTAGCTATTCTTGTACAACATAGCTTGATGTAAGGCAAATGAAAAGCTAATGGTTTAGGATTAACAAGGGTGGAATTAACGCGAAATGAAATTGAAGAGACTTATGCTAGCTTAAGTAAGAGGCCATATGACATACGCTCTGTTTCACATAGGTTAAAACAACAGAGAAAGTGGGGACCGTATCAAGAAGCTCGTTGATTTAGTATATATATAAGTGGGCAAGACTCCTGAAGATGTGACCAATACCCGAGGCCCGCTTCTTTCTCTAGCGCATGGATAGTTAGGCTTCTATTGTTTCATCCTATCTAGTTGAATTCTGATTTGTTGGGGCTCCGAGCCTTACTTCTATTAAAGCAGTTTCTCGCTCTAGTAGTTACTTGTTGGGGCCACTGCCTTAACCGACGTGTAAGCTTACTTTAGCTATTAATTCAGACTTGCTCTTGCCGAGTTATAACCTATTTATGTACGAGTCTAGTATATACTTGGCTAGTAGTGATCCAAGCATGAAAGTGAAGGTAAGGCTGAAGAGGGCAAAGCAGAGGAGTTCTCTTTCTCTCAATTAGTTCCGGTTTGATTCTGTTGTTTTATACCTTCCGTGGTAGCTTGTCTGATAGCTCCGCAGATATATAAGTATTCTGTTTTCCACCTTCCGGTGTTCTTCTTACTCGAGAGTTTTCTACCTTTCTGTTCCTGTTCGAGTTCTTGTTTAATACCGGCCAAGTCAGTAAACTACCCTTGCCTAGTAACAGACTTCATAACTACTAACTGCCTTCCTAGCCTAGTCACTTCATTCAACAAGTAAGTAAATCACCCTACCATAACATGTAAGTAAACAACACAACCCGCCAAGCTACTACTAGACAATTTCACGTCACTTTCTGATAACCCACTTGGAGCACTTGAAACTGAACCTTGAACTACACTTGAATAACAGACCTATACTGTAAACTATCCCCCTCGGTCTGAAGACTATCACTCGCACAGGAACTGGCAACTTCACTTTAGAACATCATTTCAAAGCACAGCATGCGATCCAGTAGACAACACTCGAACATAACTTTATGAACACTGAGCACCCAAAGATACATACTATACTGATTGACTTTGCGCTTCAAACTAACTATCGCCGAAAACTGTAATGGAATCCACTGCTGGCCCCTGATTGAAAGTACTTAGCGGGCTCAACACCCTTTTCACTTATTGCTTTGTTTGCCAATCAATCAATCACCGTAACCTCATTCTTCAACGCCAGGCCTCTCCTCTGATTTGGTTGTAGCTTTACCTTAACCGGAGCATGAGAAAAGATAGACAAAATAGCTTCCTTTCCTTCTTAAGAGCACATAGCACTAGGTAGGTTCAGAGCACTAGGTAGGCATGGTGGAATTCTTTGCTTTGAGTGGAATGATGCCTTTGTAGTTGAGAGCACTACTAGCTAGTTGGTTAAGAGCACCACTAGGAGTTCACCTGATTCCTTTCTTACAGTGCAGGAGTTACCTGATTCCTTTCCTACTTGTTCGTTTCATTCTGACTTTAGAGCTAGTATTAGCTTGTCGGGTTGGTGAGATAGAAAGAGCCCTTACTTTTGTAGTTACTAATTCTATTACTTCATACTTAATGCACTATATAATACCCATTCTTTGTATACGACTTGATATTCAGAGTATATCTCCTAATACGCTATATCGTACCGTACCTGTTCTTATTACTTGAAAGCTGAAACCAACCTCATTCCTCTACTCTTACTTTCAAGGTTCATTCTTTATTTCCAGCGGACTTCTTCTATTACAAAATGAGGCGTTGGGGGGCGTAGTGAAGTTCATTCTATTATTCAATGAAGGGGGCACGGCTAGAAAGGGCACATAAGTGTTACTAAGATCTATCAGACCTGCCGAATTCCTCTATTTCTTACTACGCGGAGTTCCATTCAATTCACACTTAAGAGTGGAGAGCGCAGTTACCCTCTTCTGGTGAGTTACCCGCTCTGCTTCTATTATACCTCTTACCCGCTCTGCTTCTATTATACTTCTGGCTAATTTCAATTCAAACCTTTTTACTGTCATTCTTCTGTGTACAAGTTTCCTACTTTAGAGTGGAATTCTCACTTTCATCTAAAAGCACTGGGTTGGCGAGGGGGAGTGGAATTCTCACTTTAGAGAAACAGCACTAGGTTAGCTATATAGAGGTCAATTCTTGCTTTTTAGTTGCACTAGGGTTGGCGAGGGCGACGACGAAAGGACTTGCAGCAGTAAGTATATTAATAGGGCTTTCCCCTCTTCTTACCTCATTTTAGGATTTGGAAGATAACATATACGTTCGATTCGCTGTGGGCATACTCCTTGCCTATTCCCGGGTGCAAGAGCTGTTACTGAAGCTACTACCTTGACCATCTATAGGGAAAAAGGAAGGGCTAACAGTGTCTGAGCTTCAAAGAAGAGAAATTGACCTCTTGTGTGCCCTATTTGGTTCTTTCCTCTGAACACAGGACTTGCTTATGAC